TGAGATCAACCTGGTAGACTCAGTCCAGGCAGGTCCAGTCCCCTCCTCCCAAGCCGAGCCTAGCGACCCTGCATAAGCCCCAGGTTTCAAACAGCCAACTCATGCAATGAGCCTAGGACCTGGTCCCACTGCCTAGTTGCCTCCCAAACAGATCAAGCCAATCAATGAGCTCCGGGAGGGAGTCTAATTAGCGAGAAAAAGGAGGGTTTATATGAGCGAGAATTGCTGAAACCAAGGTTGGATAAAGCACAGGGACAAATAGCCGAACGAGTAGAAAGGGTCCTTTTAATAGCTCTCACCTATGAGCAGTAGGGCAAAGGGAATGATTTCATACTTATTCCAATCGACACAGAACACACAGTAAGTGTGAGAATTAGGTGCAATCGCATCTAGTTGGAAGTAAGAAAACTTTCCCTGCTTGTTTCCTTTACAGACAGTGGCCAACATATCTGGATGTGAGACCACGGACTCAGAGGACCTGGTGCACTGTCTGAGAGGCAAGAGTGAAGCAGAGATTCTGGCCATTAGTAAGGTTCGTATAATTGTCTGTGTGGAAGAGCCTCATCACTCTTTGTGTTCTTTTAGTTCTGTGTTCAATATGAACACCAAGATAGACTGTTCCATGTGTAGATTCCCTTCTAGAGTGAGCAGAGAACCCTGAAACTAGAGAGAAATGGGAAAATGGTAGCAGTAACTCAGTAGATATCGGCATATGTATTTCATTGACTTTCAGCATTGAGTTTTAATGCCTCTCAGGTTTTCAATATCATCCCTGCTGTGGTGGATGGAGTGTTTCTTCCCAGGCATCCCCAAGAGTTGTTGGCTTCTGTGGATTTTCACCCTGTCCCCAGCATCATAAGTGTCAACAATGATGAGTATGGTTTGCTTGTCCCCAAGGTGAGTCTCAGTTCCAATCCTCTGGGAGCCTTGAGACTCATATGCTAAGCAGTAGGAACTCAATACATCTTTAATCCATGTTCATCATATCCCACACTTAACAGTGTCTTCTGCTTCCCAGGTCATGGGTACTGCTCAGACAATAAGGGAAATAACGAGAGAGAACCTGCAGGATGTTCTGAAGAATATAGCAGCACAAATGGTGAGACACCTCTGGTCCTGTACAAATAGAGAGGTCCCTCATATCTCCTTCTCAGAAAGATTCCTATTAATAAAGGTCAGTATATGTCTCAGTTAGGGTTTCTATCGCTGTGAAGAGACACCATGACCACAGAAACTCTTATAAAGGAAAATATTTTATTGGGAGGGCTTATAATTTCTGGGGGCTAGTCCATTATTCTCATGCTGTGACATGGTGCTGTGCAGATAGACATGGTGCTATAGCAGGAGATGAGATTCCTACATCTTGACTCCCAGGCAACAGGAATCGGTCTGAACCACTGGGTGTGGCTGGAACACAGATCAGACCTCAAAGCCCAGTTCCACAGTGACACACTTCCTCCAAGAAGACCATACCTGCTTCAACAAAGCCATACTTCCTAACAGTGCCACCACTCTCTTTGGGGGCTAGTTTCTTTCAAACCACCATAGTATATATGTGTGATTCTGTGTGGGGTGACCTGAGAGCACAAACCTTTTTACCTATACCCTATCTCATCCCAGGCCCTATTCTCTCCATTCCAAAGGCTGTTACTTACCTAACCAACAACATGCCTAACCTCATTCTTCCTGTTCTCCTTGGTGTAGATACTACCTTCTGAGTGCAGTGACCTGCTAATGGAAGAGTACATGGGGGACGCTGAGGACCCCCAGGCCCTCCAAGCACAGTCCAGAGAGTTGATGGAGGACTTCATGTTTGTATGGAGAAGGACAACTCATATTCATCACAGGAAAAATCCATCATGGTGAAGTCTCAATTCTGAACATTAATGCCCCCCAAACAAGAACAACCACATTTTTTGTTTTATTTAAGAATTTTTTAATTCATTTTACATACCAACCACAGAAGCCCCTCTCATTCCTCCTCCCACTCTCCCCCACCTTTGGGCTCTCTGCTATCTGGAGAGGCAGTCCAGTGTGTTTTCATCAGTGTCCCATTAGGTGAAGGTACCCAATCTTAGAGTTTTCTGTCTTAAAACTGAGTTTAAAGAAAGTCTTTTTTTCTTAAAAAGTATTTTATTGTTTAGTTTTTTTACATTTATTCGTGTGTGTGTGTGTGTGTGTGTGTGTGTGTGTGTGTGTGTGTGTGTGTGTGTACCATAGAGCCCTAGAACATATGTGATGGTCAGAGGACAATGTGGGAAGTCAGTTCTCTCCTTCTACCATGTGGGTCCTGTGAATCAAATTCATGTCGTCAGGCTCGATGGCATGTGCCCTTAACTGCTGAGTCATCTTGCTAGCTCAGAAACTTTTTGTAAGTTACTGGTTCAGATCTTTTGTTATAACAATAGAAGACAGGCTAATATGGAGCTTGTTTGAATGGGGCCTGTAGGAACTTTTGTATGAATGGAGCCTGTGGGAACTTGTTTGTATGAATGAGGCCTACGGGAACTTGTTTGCTGGCTTATGGTGGGAAGGGCAAAGGGCTAACCACAAGTCAGAAAGTAATTCCTTCTTAGATATCAAATTGGGTGCCACCATCACCAGAGCTTTTAGCTTCCAGAACAGACAGCAATGAATTTCTGTTGTGTTGAACCTACTCCACTGTGATAATTGTGCGATAGTCCCAGAATTAACTCTTGGGGCTTTAGTTAAAACTTGTCCCTACTATTAGAGGACAGGATCTTGCTGAGATGTGAAAAAGAAATTCAGTCACCCAGGTTACTGAAATCCTCCCTAAGGTACATCACTAGTAGTGGAAGGCCTGAGGAGTAAGAGGAGAGGAAAGGAGGTGGGTGGAGGTGAAGTAAGGGAGAGAGGGAGGGACCCTTGCCTACTGTAGCAAGGAGGAAAGTATTGTCTATTGGGACTCACCCATCCATCCATAGCCTCCTGTATGTTTGATGTGTGTAACAGAAGTGATCCGTATCAGGCGTAGCAGGGAACATATACCATGCAGAGGAGATGTCATAATTGTTGGGTATATGAACCTAATGACTATGTAAAAGTGTGGATCCCCTCTATCTCCTCTTCAGGTGTCAGAATAACCCCACCTGCACTCAGGACAAACTGCAACTTGACACAGAGTGCTACAGCTCTGCATGCCTGCCCTCAACCTCTTTTAATTCGTGCATCTTTTGAGGCAGAGTCTTGGTCCAGAACTGCAGCCTTCTGGTCCTCAGGGCTCGGCCCACAACAGGCTGGATGTCCAGCTGCAGGTACTGCTCATCATGGTCAAACACGGGCCAGTGGGGCAGGCCTTCACTGTTGGGATTCCTGTGGACACATCCTCCCAGTAGGGAGAGCAAAGATTACTTTAGGCTCTGCTGAACTTGAACCATATCCTCGGATTTGGGTCAGGGCAATGGTCTAAGCAGTTAGGGAATTATGGGAATTTAGAGGCAGGTGTACTGATGTAGGAAAACAAAGAGACCTTACTATTGTCTGTTTTTTGAGGAACAAAGATACCTGGCCTGATTTCCCCCTCCTTCCAGGGGCATGCTCTAAAGAATAGTACCACAACACTACTGTTCTACACTATGTCACTGGGTGATGGTCAGAGACCAGGATGTACAATTGTTTAAGTGGACCGTTAGGTGGTGATGAGGCTGTCATGTGATGAAAGATCCATGATTGCTATTGAAACCACTAACCACAAGGGCAGCCTTGGAAGCTAATCCACTCCTTAGAGGTTAAGGGAGGGGAGTGTTCTCACCCATGTCGTGCAAAGTTGGCCCAGTACTTCATCATCATCCTGCTCAGAAGCTCCTCCTCCTCAGTGAGGTCAACTGCAGAGAGGAGGAGATTAAGGGTCCAGACTCTGGCTTCTCATGCAGCTGTTCACTCAAGTTCTGCACTCACCATCCCAGCTGTAACTTACTCTGGGTCTGGTCCCTTCCCTCCCCTTCCTGCCACCCATAATCCATTCCCTGCACCTGCACACTCTGCACACTCTTACTCATCCCAGCCTCCAATTTCTACTCCCTCAGGCTCATCCTTGCCCCAGAGCGTCTCCTTGCTTCTGACCAAAGGAAGCTGGGAATAACCATGCCTTTACAATACCCTTCTCATGCTGGGAGTTGTAGTGCTTGTCTCTAATGTCAGCACACAGAAGACTGAGACAGGAGAACTGCCATGAATTATGGGCTACATAGGCTACATAGGCTACCTTGCCTCAAAAAGTCAAAACAAACAAATGAACAAGTAGTATAAAACAACCCATTCTACCACTCTGTCTGATTCCATGGCTCATGCAGGTAGGGACAGCTGGAGGAAACACAGGCAGGAGTGGAAAGGGGTTGGGTTTCTACCCTCATGCCAGCCTTTTGAGCTACATCATGGTACACAAGCCATGCTGTCTTTACTCTGAACCTCAGTTTCCCCATCTGAATATGGCTGAAGGGCCTGCAGCCTGGGGAATAAAGATGACTCACCTTGAGTGCCTCCCCAAAATGATCTGAAGATAAAAAGAATCTCATCACCATGGTCAGCCTTCACATTGGGTGGCTTGGAGTCCTTGAAGAAGTTTGGCCGATGCTGGAACTCATAGAAGTAGACAGGGGCATGGGAACCTGGAGGCAAAGACAGGCTGAGAAAGTGGACTCTTGCCCAGGGATGTCCTTCTTCAATTGTGATGACAAGATAGCTAGCTGGATCTGGGGTCAAAGCTGGATAGAGTTTGAATAGTAAAATGTGGAACCCCATGCTGGAGTCGGGGCTGAGGGAGGGACTTGCTTAAGCCATGGTCTTGGAAGTCTTTGCTATATGGACTTGTAATATTGTTGTTATGTAGTTTCCTCATCAGTAAAATTTGGAAGATTCCTATGTCTTAAACAAGTCCCAAGAATTTACTTAGATGAGGGACATTAAGTACCTGCTAACAGAGGTCCAATACAGACATGGGTGGGGATCTGGACACCCCAGATTTCAAGTGGGCACCACAGCTTTGAGCTGCCTCTAGGCATCAGGCCTCAGTTCCAGATGTACTCACGTTGAAAATGTGCTACTTGCAGTGCAGGGATCACAAAGGTGAAGTCTTCCATCATCTCCTTGAACTGCACTTGGAGAAGCTGAGGGTCCTCATTGTCCCCCATGTACTCCTCCATCAGCAGGTCACTGAATTCAGGAGGCCACATCTAATCAGAGGGACCAGGGAGAGTCAGATCAGATAGACCCTGGGGCAGGGAGGCCACAGCCTCAGGATGAAGAGTAGGGCCCAGCACTGGACAAGTGAAATCACGAAAGGGCCAGGTTCTGGTGACCCTCAACCCACAAGTACTGCCATGGTCCAGCCTTTGTTCCTGCAGTTTGCTGCATGAGCAGGGCATGACGGAGATGCCCTCTCTCCAGTGCTCCAGCAGCCTCACCATCTGTGCTGCCCTTCTCTGCAGGAGAGCTTGCACGGTCTGTCTGTCCATTTCTTTCTGGGGGTCAGTGGTGCTCATGCTCTAAGTGATAAGAGAAGAGGCTGTGTTGTGGTCAAGGTCACATGGGGCTATAGGACAGGCTTCTTGGAGACCAAAGGCCTTGGACCTGGGTCTTACCGAAGGGATGATCCAGCCATACTCATCGTTATTGACACCAATAATGCTGGAGACAGATTGGAAGTCAGCGGAAGCAAGCAGCTCCTTGGGATGCCTGGGCAAGAAGATGCCATCCACTGTGCCAGGGATGATCTTGAAGGCCTGAAGGGACATTGGTTGTTAAGGAGCAAGGTCAGGTCCTTGACAATTCTGATGTTAGATTATAGTCTCCCACTCCTGTCTGTCCCATCCCAGGATTGTCACACCCAGTCTATGAGATCCTACAGCTGGTTTACCATATTGTGGTGTTGAGATCTCTTCCTAGGTGCTAGGTTATGAAGGATGGAATGAAGTAGTGTCCAGGGGCTACCTAGGGCAGGCTACCTTATTCCCTGTTGCCCCTCCATCCTACCATTCACTCCAACCTTGTTAATAGCCATAATCTCCTCTTCACTCTTGTCTCGTAGACAGTTCACCAGGGCCTCTGAGTCCACCTGCTCACATCCAGACAGGTTGGCAACCATCTATAAAGGCATCAGGCAGGGGACGGCTTAGCCTTCCAGGCAGGGAAGGTATTTTACAGGGTCCCACTTGGGTTCAGGTGTTCCTCAAATCTCAAAAGGTACACAGGTATGTAGACGACGGCAGGTGTCTGTTTCCCTGATGTTTAGAGGTGACAGCCAGAGGAGCTATCACACCTGATGACACACTTTGCTTATAACATCACAGATCCCAAGCACAGCTTGATGGGATACAAAGCCAGTGTTACGTAGACGGGGGTAGATTCTAACCGTTAGCTCTTCAGAGATTCCTGTGCAGGAGGCAGCTGCCTGGTACCTCTGTGGACCTTGTTCACATTAGTCAGAAGAGAACCAGTTTCTGAGGGTGAAAGCTGAGGCAGCAGCTCAGGGGTGGGGTGGTTGGGGGCACTCACTCTATAGACTACTTCAGAGGATTTTGAGATGAGGCTTGGAATCAGGGCTACCCCACTCTCCATGATGGCTCTATGGAAGAGTCCTTTGGACAATGGGGACACAACATGTGAAGACACACTTGTGCCACCTGCTGACTCGCCAAAAATAGTGACTTGGTCAGGGTTGCCTCCAAAGTGGGCGATGTTCTGCTGGACCCAGCGTAGGGCGGCCACTTGGTCCAGGTAGCCCCAGTTGCCTCTGGCGTGCTGGTCTCCAGTGCTGTGAAGCAGCAAGAACAGGAATCACTTATTCTTTTCAGGCCCCATATCCCAGCCCAGCCCCAGACTCACCTGAAGAAGCCCAGGACACCCAGGCGGTACTGGATAGTGACCACCACCACATCCTCCATGGCTGCCAGCATGGATCCATCATACAAGGAAGCCATGCCTATAACCAGTGCACCACCATGGATCCACACCATCACCTGAAGAAATCAAGATAGGTGCCATGTGTCTCCCATATAGGTCAGCTGGCTTCCCTTCAGAGTTAGTACAACTTATTTTTTGAGCAGCTGCCCACATAGACAAATGCCCAGTTGGACATACTGCCATTTTTTGGGTGAAGGGTTCAAGCACAGTCATGGACACAAGCCTTCCTCTCTGTTTGGAGTTCACCCCAGCATCAAAGTCTGACTGCATTATTCTCAGAAACTTTTGTGGGGAAATAATAGGGATATTTCCTTTATTATGTTCCATGAAAATTAGCCAAGTGTTCTCTTATAAAAAAATTGGTTTTTTAATGTTTAATTGGTGTTTTGCCTGCATGTATGTCTGTGGGAGAGTGTCAGAAGCCCTAGAAGTGGAGTTACAGACAGGTGTGAGCTGCTGTGTAGGTCCTGGAAATTGAACCTGGGTCATTGGGAAGAGCAGAGTGCTCCTAGCCACTGAGCCATCTCTCCAGCCCCCAAAAGTGTTCTCAAGTCTTATCAATTCAATAAAAATCAGTGGCTATGTCTTTGGTGACTTCAAAGTGCCACTGTTGTGCATTCAATAGATCTAGACACACGTTGGTAGTTGATTAGATTATAGGAAGAGATTTCTCATTAGGGTTCACTGCAGCATGGCCCAGGATGATCCAATCTTTTGTTATAAGAAATACCTTCTTACCCCAGAATGAGCATGACTTGACACTCACAGGCAAGTTGGAACCCTCATGGGCATGAGCTGGGGTATAGACGTTAAGGTACAGGCAGTCCTCAGACATGGGGATGGGAGGCAAGGTCAGCTTCAACAGCTTAAGAGCCTGCATATTCATTGCAGTGATGTCCTGCAAACATCTGGTGACCAACCATGGTAGAGAGTCAGCTCAGGGACATAGGGAACCCAGAAACAGACCCTCGGGGAAATAGGCTTCCAAATATCCCTATGCACTTCTTTCCTGATGTCTTGCTTCCACATGATCATTCTCTAAGTTCTTATCTATCAAGGCCAGACTATGGGCTCTGGAGGAGCTGAGATGAAGCCCAGACTTCCAGTAAGGTCTCAAGGTTGTTGAGGAGCTTGTACCCCACTCCTCCTGAGGGTGGGAAATCATGACCTTCAGGAATCCTTTGGACAATCTTTGATTGAAGGTGTTGACATTCACCATTTCTCCCTCTAGCCAACCAGTTCTTGAACAGGGCAGCTGTGTCACACTGGAGTTCATGAATGAGTGGAGGCTAGTGTCCCATAAGATAGTGGAGACCTCCCTCATTTCAAGTCCAGACTCTTGGGATCCTCATCTCTTCCTTAATCTCCACTTAGAAGCATATTGTGACATCTTGAATGTAAACTTAATGAGATTTAGAATTGCTATGGAAACAAACCTCTAGGCTTGTTTGTGAGGGAGTTTCTAGATTAGGTTATTTGGGATAGGAAGACATGGCCTAGAAGTGGATAGTACTACTCTGTTGGCTGGTGCCTTGAACTGAATAGAAAAGAGTAAGTTGATCATCAGCATCTCTCTCTCTCTCCTCTCTCTCTCTCTCTCTCTCTCTCTCTCTCTCTCTCTCTCTCTCTCTCTCTCCTTCCTCACTATAGGTGTAATGTGACAAGTCACCCTACATTCCTGCTGCCATGACTTTCCCACCAATTGGGCATTACCCTTGAATTATGTATCAAAATAAACTTCCTTGTTAAGTTGCTTTTGCCATGTATTTTGTCCCAGCAATGAGAAAAGTACCTAGCATACATATATACTTATTTTTTGTCCAGTGACATCTAGCCCTGTAGGGGCAGTGGGAGTGGAAGGTGGAATTTGCAAGGTCATCTTCAAGGACCTAGTTTCTGATGTTGTTAGTTGGGGATCTTACAGGTTCTGGGAGTCAACCCCAACCTCTCCCAGAGACCTTTCTTTGGATATTGGAGAACACTAGAAATAGTCTGGTCAATGCCATTCAGATGTCAAGCCTGAACTAAGAGGTTGGCAGAGTCATTTCACTCACCTAACATTAGCAAGTTCTGAAAATACTCTTGGGAATCCCCCTGCACAGTGGAAAAATGCTGTGAAGTTGAGATGAGGAACCATAGCCATCTGGCCTGGAGTTCACAGCACTCATCGATCCCAGGGCCTCAGGAGAACTTACATGGCCGGATAGGAGGTCCCATCTCTCACACCACTCCACGGTTCAGGTGGCTCAGGGGGTACAAAGCGCAGTGGTCCTGTAGGTGGCTTGGCAAAGGGAATTCCCAGGAAGGTGTGGACACCCACATCAAGGTCCTTCATGTGGATGAGACTGCCTCGTATCTGGCCTGTGTGTGTAGTCCTGATGGGACTGGCTGAGTCCTGGCCTGGGGATGCAGAGGTGACATCAGGGTTGGGCCTACACAATCAGTGGCCACCATAGGAAGTTTTTTTCACCCACTTTTTTGTTACCCTCAGCTCAGCCTTTTCCAAGGACCAAGGACAGCAAACAGTACTTTCACACACTTCTTGTTTGTCACAGTGGCCTCTTGTCACCACTGTTCATGATTCTGTTGATTTGAATTTGAAACACCGGAGGGGCTCTTGAGTACAGAATGCTAAGATTTGGAGATACACTGGGAGAACTCCAAATAATGAAAAACCACCAAAGTGAACCCTGAAATGGGTAGTTATGATATTTTAACTATATCTCAAAGGTTGTATACAATGGTGACCTGCTTGTAAGTTATGCTGGTGCAATAGTAGTAGCACAGCAGTTGTGGGAGTAATCAGTCACTATCTGATTAGATTTAAGGCCCATTCCATGAGACGGAACCCATGCCAGAAACTGCTTGGTGGCCTAGAACCTGAGACTAGATAGCCTAGGACCTAGGGGAAAACAAAATTCTGTTCTTCAGGAATGGAGCAATAAAATGATTCCTCATGACATTTCTGCTGTACTCATAGATCAGTGTCTTGCTCAGTCATCGTTAGAGAAGCTTCCTTCTGCTGTATGGGAACAAATAAAAGAGACCCATAGCTGTACAATGTGCAGAGAGTGAGAGACCTTGGAGCACTCAGTCCTTAATGGCATGTCTCCATCAAATATGTCCCCTCAGGGCTCAGGAAACTCTGCAGAAGAGGAAGCAAAAAGATTGTAAGAGCCAGTGGGAATGAAAGACACCAAGGAAACAAGGCCTTTAGACACACAGGACTGACACACATATGAACTCATAGAGACTGTGGTAGCATGCACAGGGCCTTCACAGGTCTAAACCAGATGGGATCCCAGCACTGAGAGGGGAAGTGAACACAGCCCCTATCCCTAACCCAGAAACCATACCCAATTGATAACCACTCACAAAAGAAAAATAGTTTTCTCTAATGGAGTCTCACTGGGCAAGAGATGCCCAACACAAAATGAATGCAATGGTATTTTTGTAGTAGTTTTTCCTCTCATAATTCATTCATTCATTCATTCATTCATTCATTCATTCATTCATTCATTCTCTCTCTCTCTCTCTCTCTCTCTCTCTCTCTCTCTCTCTGTTTCAACCTTACAATTCTTTTGCTTATGTATTATAGTTCCCAGTTTTGTGTTTTTATGAGATTTCAGTGTGTTTGAATATGTGTGTCTCTGTGTTCAGTGTTTTCTTTGGCTTTTATTTTTCCTGTTAGTTTGTTTTGTCCTACTCATGTTTGTTTTAATAATAATAATAGCAACAATAAAATCATTGTTAGTATTAGATGCCTGTTTGTTTTCTAGTGAGAGAGAGAGAGAGAGAGAAAGAGAGAGAGAGAGAGAAAGAGAGAGAGAGAGAACAAAAGATTGTGAATTTGGGTGTGTAGGGAGGAGCTGGGAGGAGCTGGGAGGAGCTGGGGGAGGGGAAACAATCAGAATATATTGCATGAAAAAAAATCTATTTTCAATAAAAAATTGAAAAGGGCCAATAAAAATTAAAAACCCCATAAACATACCAACTAATTTATAAAGTCTTGATTTTACTTAAGCCTTAATTAAAACACCTCATATTAATATCATTTGGAATAGATATATTAACAGTAATTGACCAAGCTGAATACGAAGGCAGAGCCTGTAATCCCAGCAGCTCTCATGGGGCTGTGGGAGGATGATGAGAGTTTGAGGCTACCTGGGCTACATCCTGAGACTTGGCTTCAATAATCTTCCCCAACCTTGAAGCCACACAAAGTGCTGGAAGTGTATCTTAGTGTTACAGTGCTTGCCAGGAATACAAGAGGCCTTGTTTTTTTTTTTTTTTACCTCTTGGATCATGGAAAGAACAAACAAAATAAAACAAAGAAACCTAAACAGATATGTTTCAGCTGGGCAATATGGCACCTGCTTGTAATTCCATCACTCTGAGGGCTAAACCAGGAGGATTCAAAAGTTTGAGGTCATACTTGACTATAGGTGAGTTCAAGATTAGGGTGGGTTACATAGATAGACTGTGTTTTAAAACATAAAACAAATCAACAACAATAACAAATCTAAAGAAACCACAAGCATATAGACAAGACAAAAAATTTGAAAAGTAAATTGATTACTTTTCTGTTGAAAAATCTAATTCTCTCATCTATCTATCTATCTATCTATCTATCTATCTATCTATCTATCTATCTATCAATCATCTATCTATCCATCTATCTGTCTGTCTGTCTGTCTGTCTGTCTGTCTGTCTGTATCTACCTACCTGACAGTTTTTTCTTCTCCTTCCCTATCTTCACAGAGTATATTACCATATGTGATAACTGGGGTTTGCATCAAATAATGGCAGAAAGAGCAGGATGCAATCCAAATACCATTGGGTTGTGCCAGACCTGAAATTGCTGAAGGTGGATTTTGGGCACTATTGCCTCACTAATTATTTCTTCCAGTCCTAGAGCATCTCATTCCTCCATGCTGTGCAGGCCTCAGGCAGCCCTGGCCCACTATGTGCTTCAGGGAGGGAGGATGTATTCAGTCAGGGTCTCTTCCCTTGCTATTGTTTTCTCCTAAACCACTCACTTCTCTTGTCCTTCTGTCCAGTTTCCTGTTTCACTTGTATAGAATTGGCTGATCTAAGCCAGGATTACTGGGGAAACAAAGAACACAGGGAGCTATTGCTACATCACTCACTGTAGTTTTACGTGGATCAACCAGTTTCAAGTCACCTGCTCAGAAAAGGCCAGAATTGGCAGTCACTCATGGGTATCAGCGAGGGCAAGTTCGTACTATCTCTTCTCTGTGGTTTGGATGTGGTTTGTTTGCTAAAATGGCAGCACTGAGGTGGTAGGTCTGTAGAGAGGTAGGATAGCGGAGGGTAATTGGATCATGGCTGCCCTTGAAAAGGCTTTGTGCTAGTCTTTTGGAGTTAAATTAATCTCACAGGTGTGGACTACTTTTTTTTGAGATTGGCAGCAGGTTGTAATCATAGTCAGCTTGGCCCCTCTTCTCTCTATTGGTTGAACCTTGTCCATATTGTCCATACATGGAATGTCATTGCTATGAGTTGTGACAGAGCTCCAAGACCCTTACCAGGGGATCGCCAGAGAGCATCCTTCATCATGGATTTTCTGCCTTCAATGCTATGAACTAAAGAAGCATTTTTTCTTTATACATTATCCAATGTTGGTTATTTTGTCATAGCAATATAAAACAAACATGAGGTTGCTTCATAGTAATAACTGAAGATAAGGAAATGGGGTGGGACCACAATAGTGGCCAAATATTGGAAGAGTTTGGAGGGACAATCTATAAGAGTCCTATTTTACTGTAAAGTGAACACTGTAAGTTGTTATGGTGAGGGCTCTGATGACAAAGACTAGGAAGGAGCTTGCACTTCATAGATGGTTTACATGATCATGTCCAGAATGCCAATAGCAATGCTGACAGTAAAGACACACTAAGAAAGGAGAACCATCCCATTGTAAACTAGAGTGAAGGCCACCTGTGTTACAGTATTACAAAGAAGTTGGCTGCACTGCATCCATACTCTAATGCTCATAGAAAGCCAACTTTAAGAGTGATGCCCAAAAGTGTTTGGGGAAATAAATTTCTAAGTAAACCATAGAGGGAACTGTTTGAGTCTTCTGGGCCATATCCAATGAAATTCACAATAATACCTGGCGAGGGAGGAAGAGTTTATAAATCTGAAAATTCCCATCATGTTCATGTAAAGAGCAGAAAGGTCTTTGGTAAGAATGTGAAGGCACAAAAGAAAATACTGTGGGTAGCAGAAGCCAGGCTCAGAGGAATGCCCCAGAACAATGGGAAAGGCACTCTGGAGACAAAATAGAAACTTTCCATTTTGCCAACATCTTCCTCCTCTAACCTCCTATCACAAGCAGAGAGGCTTGGAGGGTTCAGGGAACGGGCACTCTCCACATGCTCGTTGTTCAGGCTAGCTTTAGGATTCTGCTTCTCACATTCTTGTATAACAATGTACATCTGCTCTAGCCATGGTTGAGCCAGTCTAGGGATGACTCTTGACATTGATCCAAAGGGGTCAAGTGTCATATCTTGGGGGTATTTATCTGGTACTAATTTGTCAGACACAGAACCCAAGGACTATTAATTAGGTCATAGCAGGTTCCACTGAGATCTCTAAGAAAATATCTGGGAGGCTCCACCCCACCAGCACTGCCAAGATTTCTCGCTAGAATGCCCTGCAAAAGCTGTAAGAGTGGGAACATGGATCTTGAGATTCCAGAACTGTAAAAATACAGGCAATTGGCAGCAGCAGCCTATGAAAGCCAAGAGGCAAGAGTATACACCATGAGAGAGATATTAGGTAGGCTGCAGCCAAAGCGCTGGTTTGAATGAGAATGGTCTCCATAGGCTCAGATATTTGAATATTTGGTCCTCAGTTGGTGGCTCTGTTTGGATACTTTTGGAAGGTGTGACCTTGCTGGAGGAAGTCACTGGGGACAGGGCTTTGAGGCTTCAAAAACTATGCATCATTCCCAGTTTCATTCTCTTGCAGTTTGAGATGTGAGCTCTCAACTGTATCTCTCACCATATCTGCTGCTGACTACCATGCTATTCTTGCCATTCTGGACTCATATCCTTCTGGAACCATAAGCCCAAATAAACCCTTTCTTCTATAAGTTGCCTTGGTCAAGGTGTTTCATCACAGAAATAAAAAAGTAACTAATACAGCAAGCAGTATCACATGACAGAGGTGGGGATACCTGAGTCCCTGAGGTCCCCTGCCTGCTCTTATTGGCACAATATTCTGGGCTTACAGTTTTGAGAGGCTATCTCTCTTGGTTTTGAATTTGCTTGGGCCCTGACACTTTTCTATTTGCCTGTTCATCCGTTTTGCAATGGGAATGTCCTAGTCGGGTTTCTATTGCTGTGAAAACACTATGACTGAAGGGAACTTAGAGGAGGAAAGGGTTTATCTCATCTTACAGACTACAGTCCTGAAGGGAAGTCAAGGCAGGAACTCAAGGCAGGAACTGAAGCAGAGGCTGTGGGAAAATGTCGTTTACCGACTTTGTTCTCCATGGCTTGCTTAGTCTGCTTTCTTACATATAACGAAGGACCACCCGCCCAGGGGAGGTGTTACTCACAATGGGTTGGGCCCTCCCACACTAATAATTAATCAAGAAAATGCTCCCACAGACTTGCCTACAGGCCAATTTCCTGGAATTGATTTCTCAGTTGAGATTCTTTCTTCTCAAATTTGTCTAGGAATGTGCTAGGTTGACAAAAATCAACCAGTACAAGGATTACTCTGTGCCTGTTTCAACATTAATTATTAAAACCATCAAACTTGATTTTTACTTTAAAGGCTCCCAGCTAGAAGGAATTTTCCTTGAATTTCAGATGGAATTTGGGACTTTGGAATCATGCCCAAAGGAGTGAAGTCTTTGGGACTGAAAGCATGACATGATCATACTTTGCACTGTGAGAAGGACATGAACCTTGGGGCTGGGACAGAATGCACTGACTTGTATATGTTTTGTACCCCCAAAGATTTATATACTGGATGCTTACTATAGGCTGCTGCTGTTGAAATAGCGAAACCTTTAAGAAGTAGGGTCTAGTGGGAGGTGACTGAGTCACCATGAGGTGACATGAGTAATCCCTCATACATGGATTACTGCTGCATTTTTGAAACAGGTTAGGTCTTGCAGTGAGAGTGAGCTGTCAGATAAGAGTGACTACGGCCATTCCTAGGGCATATGGCTTCTTCTTTTACCATGTGATCTCTCCCATTTAGACCTACTGTGAAATGTCATTGGCATGTTGTAACATAGCTAGAAGGCTCTGAACAGAGCCTTGCTAGAGTGAGCAACCTGATTGTTAATTTTCAAACTCTAAATTTTGAGCTGAGCAAAACCACTTCCTTTGACCATTATATGGCTTCAGGTATTTTTGCACAACTATCCAATCTACTAAGATGTCCAAGTCAGAAGGCACACTCCCCTTTTCTGTTACCTGCTGCTCACACAGGGTTTCATGTGGAACGAGATCTCTGTCCATGTGATTTCACTTCAGTTACCAGCTACTGAGTCCTCATGTTGTGTTGTTACACCAATGGACAAGAATATGCTAGAATATCCATGATTTTAGATTTGTTACATTAACTGATTATTTTTGAAGTGAAGCCTTCCATTGGGTGGTATTAGGGAGCTCTAACACATAGTAGTGTGAAGTGATCTCCTTGCTAGGAAGAGTTAAATTGTGGTGCCAGAAATGGAGTGAATTTGTAATTATTTTGATTGAAATCAAGGGCCAAAGTCTTCATCTATTCTAAGACAAACTCCTGAGCCCTGTGTATAAGACTCAGGGACCTTGATGTTTCCTGTAGAAGAACCAGGAGTAGATGAGACAGAAGAGGGTGGGATCTATATTTGTGCTCGCCTATGAGTTAATGATGTTTCCTGATATGTGTTAAATAGCCAAGCACTATTAAAAATGAAGAATAGGTGTGTGGAAATTGGAAAACTGGAAAAGAGTGTCATGAATTAGGGCCTTCAGGAGGGGCCCTTGAGGGGAGAGGATGAAGACTGAGGGACATGTTCAGGAATTCTGCCCATTTAACTCCAAATAAGGTGGAAACTACTTGGCAGGCCCAGAGTGCTATCACCTTTCCCTTGGAAGCCAAGTCACACCGCTGCCCCAGGCTAGGTCAGACATACGATGTAAAAAGCACTCTGGGTCCTCTCAGAGCCAATATTAGGTACAGGCCTGAGCTCCTGTATCCTCAAGAGTAAGAAGCTTCACTTGAATATCTCTGAGAAAGCCATGCTACCCCTCTGGCCAGGGAAATGATATGCCAGAGTCTAATGGCCGTGGAGGGTATTGTCACGTTGTTTAGTATATGTGCATAGCTCAAGCTCCAGTCCCAAACCCAGGAGGGAATGTCATGACTCCTCATCTAGAGGCTGCTTGCTTTCTGGCCCTGCCCATTTGCCATTCCTCAACCCCCCCCATCATTCTCAGCTCCTTCCTTGAAGGTGGGCATCCTTAGGTAGCCTCTCTGCTCTATGGCTTAGGGGGCCCACTCTGACTCTTGGGGGAGCATCATACAAGTGCAGGGTTCCTGAGCAATGAACTCCACCATTTCAGCCACTCCTTGCCCATTTCCTCCCTTAGTCTCCACTCTGCCTCTGCACAATTTGGCAGCTCTGACATGGTTCCCTGTCACTCCCACGAGAGCCTCACCCTGAACCTGGAGGAGAAGCAGGAGCCCATAGGCCACGGTGGTCAGCCGGTCGGGAATTCGTTCCAGTCCCATGGTTGGTGCACAGGAGTGTGTCTGAATCCTGTAGGGCAGGCCAATTTTTACCAGAGCTGGAGTTTGGACCCAGCAGAGTATGGGCAGGGCTCTGGGTGGGGCCTGGGAGGTGGGTGTTTCAGGAGAGCAACACTGAGTAGGCTGGGCTTATGAAAGCCCTAATCAGCAGACAGGGACTGTGATCACCTCCACACTTTCTGTGTTTCTTTTGGCCTCCTCTGAAGGTGCTATGTGTATCAATAGCCCCTTAAATACAGTGACCTGCACCTGAAACCTGCAGTCACTAAGTTTACTGACATGACAGTCACAGGTCCAAACACGACATTGGGGATGAAAGGACAGAGCTGAAAGTTGTAACTGGAGATGACAGAAGGGCTTCTCTAAAGTGACACACCTTCAGTGACCTACATTAGAGAATGAACACACTTATTATGGGATGAAGGAAACTTGGAGAGCAAATACATGAAGTTACAACATGAATTTCCCTTAATTCTGAAAACTCCTCCTTAGTTTCTGACTCATGATTTACTTTGTTCCCTGCCCAGGTCCCTTAATCCTCATAGTCATGGTTTGAAAATCTATATGGATTCTTCCTTGGTCTCATGGACATTTCTGTATGTGTGTCTACACACACACACACACACACACACACACACACACACACACACACCACACAACACACACACACACAAATATATTATTGAATGAAGAAGAAACTCAAGAGCATTTCTGTGTATATTGGGAGGGTGATGGAAAACTTACAGCCACAGAAACCTGGAGGAATAGAGAGAGAAACAGAAACACACACACAGAGTCAGAGTATAGAAAGACTGAGATGGAAATGGGAAAGAAGATGGAAGCCAAAGTTCAGAGTCTAAGGATCCTGGGCAGTGGTGGCATACTCCTTTAATCCCATCACTTGGAAGGCAGAGACAGGCAGATCTCTGCGAGTTCGAGGCCAGCCTGTCTACAGAGTGAGTTCCAGGATAGGCTCCAATGAAATCCTGTCTCAGAAAAAAAAAAATAAATAAAAGAGTCTGAGGAGAGGGCCAGTGAGATGGCTCAGTGGGTAAGGACGCCTACCACTGAGACTGATAAGCAGAGTTTGATCCCTGGAATCCACATGGTAGGAGGGGAGAACGGGCTTTCAAAAGTTTTCTTCTGCCTTCCACCTGTGTAACATGGCATGTGTGCACAATGTGCATGTGTGTTTGTGCATGTGTGTATGTGCCCCCCCACAGGCACACACACAGGCACACACACACATACACACACACACACACAAAGATAGAGAGAGATAGATAGAGAGAGGAGAGAGAGAGAGAGAATAAAATGAAAAAAAAAGATGTTTAGGGAGAGCATGTATGTTGACTAACATAAGTAGTTCCAGAACTTGGGAGGTTGAGGCAGATGGATCCTGAGTTTGATTACAGCATGGGTTATACAGGAACACTGTGTATCAACCAACAAAATCCAAATGAGCAAATAATAGCAGTAATGATAATAATAACACAAATAAAATAAAAGTTCAGGCAAATATCTGCAATACAATATAGGTGCACACCTGCCCCTAGTAATTCTTCCAGTTAGGCCCTACCTCCTAGAGGATCCACAGCCTTCAATATAGCCTCTAGCTATCGGCCAGGCACTCAAAACATAAGTGGGTCACATTTTAATTCAATCCATAGTAACTACTAAAAGTCTAAAAAGTACCCTGAGATTGCTGTTGGTGAAATATCCTGTGTATTCAGAGAAATGAAAGCCACATGGTAGTGGGTTCACCGTAGTGAGACTTCAGTCATCCCTTCACTGTAGCAGTCTCATCAAAACGCTTTGAAGGCTTGCTGTTGGGGCAAAGGTGCTGGACAATCAGTCAAGCTCCTGATACCAGAGGTCAATGCTGGTTCATGTCTCACAAATGTGACAAAATGAAACCCCACAGACACTGAGTGAGGGTGAAAGTTGCAGTTTATCACCAGGGAAAGGAGAGTGCCTGAGAGTGTAAGTGGTGTAAAGGTCCCATGACTCCGGACAAGATCAACTGTCACCAGGGCTCCCACCCGACAGGAAGGGCCCAAAGATAGGCTTACACTGTCCTGTTTTTGCTTACGGTATAAAAGGACTTTGCAAAGAGGAGAGGCATGCAGGGGAAGCAACAAGAGCTGCCAGTCAGTACACTGTTGGCTGTCTGCCTCTGATTTTTCTTTTCTAGGAACCAGGAAAGTCTTCAGGTGCATTGGGCAAGTGGTTGTCAGCAGACACCAATCTTTCAGCGATGAAAGCCTTCAGGATTGAAGCCCCAACCTGAGTGCCTGGCGGGTGCAGCCAACTACTGGTCTCACCAGGGGCTCAACAATGCAGTAAGACCCCAGTGAGAGTATCCTCTTGCTCAGCTTCTTAACCAAGGCTCAACATTAACCTCATCTGTTCCCTGGTGTTCTGGGTAGGCAACACAGAAATCTTCATTTTCAGCCCAAAGGTCATGGTGCATTAGGATTTATATTCAGTGCAGTGGTTGGGAAAGGGGGACTTTGCTCTGAGAAAACTGGTCCAAGTAGAACGAGATGGTGAGAGGTAGAGAGATGGGGGAGGTCCTGGAGCCTGCAGGACACAAGACACTACCCCTTAATGACAGAAAAAGTGCTTTGGAGGAGCAAAAGTACAGACAGAGTAGAATTTGGCACCTTTGTTAATGGCAAAGTGTAAGAGACTTTGTACTGCTGGGGTTGAAACAATAAAGGAAATCAATTATGTGGATTATCGAGAATATTATGGGATGACCAAGGAGTCAAGAGGCTTCAGGGAGGATTCATGAAGGGCAGGAAAATACTTCCATACAAGGAGCAGCTTGCTCAGGGTGCCAGGGACAGGAATCTCTTCTGACATCATCCCATTTCCAGGACACACCCCCTAGACAAACATTTTCCCAGAGGCGGTAGACTCAAGCAAGTGTGGGCTGCAGACTGGCTGTAGAACTCCTGATCTGAAGAGCAAACTTCAGAAAATGGGGCACTGAGAAACCCATGTAGTTCTGGCCAACTCCCTAACTCCTGACCCAGATTGAAAGTCTCATAAACATGCCTAGTTCTGCTTCTGCAGGTATTTGTAAAATTTCATATACAGGGACAATATGTAGGGATTTTTTTTCATCACTTGGCGTCCTTTGTGGTTGATGTCAGAGACCTCTATGAGCTGCGGTCTGAAAGCCATGGGATCAAATTTATTTGCTGGAATCTAATATCTAATCCAACGCTATTAAGAGTTGTGACTCTGACTGCTACTCACATCACCAGTGAGGCTACCTGTAAAACAAGACCCCAAGAAAGACACGGGGATCACCCAATGACGGAGAAATGGATGAGATCTACATGAACAGCCTGGACATGAGTGGGAGCAATGAACAGCGAGGGTCGAGGGAAAGAGAGCAGGAGATCCCACCTAGATCAAGAACAGAGAGAGAGAACAAGGAATAGGAGACCATGGTAAATGAAGACCACATGAGAAAAGGAAGAAACAAAGTGCTAAAGAGGCCCACAGAAATCCACAAAGATACCCCCACAATAGACTGCTGGCTGAGGGGCCCCCAACTGGATCAGACCCTCTGAATAGGTGAGACAGTTGATTGGCTTGATTTGTTTGGGAGGCATCTAGGCAGTGGTACCAGGTCCTGGGCTCGCTGCATGAGATAGCTGTTTGAAACCTGGGACTTATACAGGGACGCTTGGCTCAGTCTGGGAGGAGGGGACTGGACCTGCCTGGACTGAGTCTATCAGGTCAATCTCAGTCCTCGGAGTTGGCATTGATCTGGAGGTGGTGGGAATGGGGGGTGGGCTGGGGGAAGGGGAGGGGGCCAGGAAGGGGGAGAACAAGGGATTCTGTGGTTGTTATGTAGAACTGAATAGTATTGTAAAATAAGAGAAAAAAAAGTAAAAAAAAAAAAAGAGTTGTGACTCTGGGAAGGTCCAAGAGTGTTAATGTTTGCTCATTCTATTCAATGAGGGTGCAATGTGAAATCTTTTGAGCCAGAGACCTAACTCTCACCACACAGCAAATCTGATGGCATTTGACCTTGGATTTCTTGCTTTATAAACATGTATACAAACTTTTGCTATTTGTATGTTATCCAGATCATAATTTGTTTAGAGATGTTGGTTTTACTGTGTTGCTGAGGCTGACTTGAAACTGCTGGAATCATGTAATCTTTCTGTCTAGGTCTCTGAATAGCAGGGGCCACAGATACCTATTACAGAGCTCAGCTTGCAATCTGTGAACTTTTGGAACCACAGCCTGACTGAACACATGAAAACAATAGGACTTCCGGTTATTAGGTTTCTTTATTAGCCACTTACAAATAAGAACGCCATGAGACTTGCTGAGAGAAGGTAGGATTTTGACAAAGCCCACTTCTATAGAGTCACTATTTCCAAAGCATCTGTTCCATTTGAAGAAAGTCTGGGGCTTGGAGAAGAGGAGAGCATGAGAGCAGATGAAGAAAGGAAGGAAGGAGCCTGGTCCCAGTAGACTGTGAAAGAAGACTGGGACACTTAGGGGATCACATATCTGCATAGTCATAGGAGCATTTACTGAGTGGGTCTCATAAAAGGTGTCCCAGCATGTTGAGTAGTAAGTGATACACTAAGGGTTTGTCATACATGTTGGCCAAGTGGATAACTGTAGAGATAAGGGATGGTTACAAAGGCTGTTAGATTCTAGCCAGGATTTCTAAGAATTCTAACATTTCTAAGAATGTTAGGCTGACTCCATGTATACTCAACCCTCTACACCATTTCTCTCACAGAGTACTATAACTCTTTGTGATTCTCCTGAGACCCCTTTAGCTCCTGGATCTTCTTGGGCAGAGTCTTGGTCCAGAACTGCAGCCTTCTGGCCTTCAGGGCTTGTCCCACAGTAGGCTGAATGTCCAGCTGCAGGTACTGCTCATCATGGTCAAACACAGGCCAGTAGGGTAGATCCTCGCTGTTGGGGTTCCTGTAAATGTACCACCCAGCAGGTAAGGGTGTATGTTACTCTTATTATATGCCAA